CCCACTTGAACTGATTACTTGATAGTGATAGTAGAAGTAGTGATAGTAGTAGTAGTAGTAGTAGTAGTAGTAGTCGTCGTGGTAGTAGTAGTAGTAGTAGTAGTAGTAGTAGTAGTAGTAGCAGTAACAGCAGTAGCTAGCAGCAATCACGGTTGTAGGGTTTTCTGGAGAATCCGACCGTGTCAACGTAGAACCCAGTGCTTCTGCATTTGCACCGCTACCCTCCCCTAGTCCGCCTGAACCGCCGAACTCAGCACAGGCGAGTTCCGAGCCTGCTAGAAGCATAGAGTTCGGTGCTGGTCGTGTGCTGGGCAGGCTCCGGGGTCTCCTTCGTCAGTACAGGGGTACAGGCGCAGTCGCAAGCAAGCTCACGCAGGAATCGAAACGACGCAGGAATCGAAACGAGACGCACGTCGAGCCTCCAGCCGCCAGAGCGGGACCTAGCACGTTCAAAGAGCATCAGTGAAGAGAGTAGATATCATCGTTTCTCAGCACAAGCTGTGGTTCAGGTTTTCCGTACGTCCGGCCTCGTGGTGAACCAGGGGCACCCAGAAGTGGTTGCTCGACAAAGGCAGGCGAGTCCTTACAACACCGAATTCAAGGTGAACCTGAATAAGGGGTCCCACAAAGATACGCTATCTGCATTGGTCTTCGTTACTGTAACCGTGACATGAACCTTTCATAGTATCACAGAACAGCCCGTAACTCGTGAGGAACCCTCAGTCCCTACAATCCGAGGATTCCTTAGCGAAAGCTCAGGCACATCTCCATGAAGGCCAGGTAGAGCATGTAGCAGCACTTCAGGTGGTCGTAGCTGTGTCGGTCGGTATACTCCCAAGCAAGAACCATCCTGAAGCTGAACTGGTCCAATTACCAGCATTCTAGAACTCACACTCCATGTAACGTAAAGTTCTAGCTGTGACACTTGAGATGGGAGCCTCGAAAACTGTAATAACTAACTAAAAAACTGCTTGGACAACCTGCCAAGGGGCTGAAGCAGCAGCTCACATCGGGCCTTCACCAGGGTCAGGGTGCACTTCCACAAGCTCGGATCCTGCTCCTCAGACAGGCTTGCAAAAGCAGCTAACCACTTCCACTGCCACCACCGCGTCGTCCGCGACCACGACCACCAGCACCACCCCCACGACCACGACTACGACAACGACCATCACCAGCACCACTACCACGACCACGTCGACGACGACGACTGCTGCCAAAACGACTGCTGCAACCGCCACCACGCCCACGACGACGACTACTTGCTACTGCTAATATTGCTGCTCTACGCGACTACTTCTATCAATTTTGCTGCTATCAGCAGACTTCTTGCCCGTCATGCCCCCGTAGCAAACACCAAATCAGGGAGGTGAAAGGCCAAGGCACCTGGGTGCACCAAACGCCGCACCAGTACAAAGGTAGTGCCAAGTGCAAATACCTGCACTTCAGGTCAGTGCGCCAGCTTTCCGACTGCACTTGGAGGTTGTTGAGACTTTGATTATGAAGCAGGAAAGACTGGGGGGGATGAACGGCAGGGGCAGCGAACCGCGGGCAGGGGCGGGGAAGCTTTGCTGTCGTGGCGAGCTGCGGATCAGAGACAATGCCTTCGTTGGGAGTTTGGTCTCCAGAGTGGTCGCTCACTACAAACCGTCCAAAATGGGGGGGGGCTTCTCGCAAGACTCGTAAGGATAGACGGTCTACATCTTGCTCCTTGATTTTGGGAAACTCCCAAATTTCAATGATCTCCCCAAGCCCTAAATCCTAAACCCTACACCCGAAGTCTTGATTCCTTGGACTCCTCCCAAGCCTTCAAGCCTTGAATCCCCGTGGGCACCAGGCAACTTCTCGTTCTCGCCAGGCGCGGTCGATGGCCGAGGCCACCTTCGTCGTTTCTCTGGGAAAAGACTCAGATGATGCGTGGCTCCGAAGACCGAGAGATATAGGGGGCCTTCATACGTAGGACATTCTGTTGGAGGTACAAGCTTGTATGATAGGGTCCTTGTTTTGGGGTATCAGTATCAGTATCAGTATAAGAGTGAATGTGATCAGGAAGCCTGAGGAATAGTCTTGGTACTTGTTTACGGCCCCCACGTTAGGCGTGAGACTCGGGCCGGAAGCATGCCTTGCCCTCGGGGCAAATTTCGGGCTTTAGGGCTTCAGTGCTTTAGGGTTTTAGGGCTCGCGTGAGCAAGCTCAGAAAGCTTGGCTAGCTCGAAGCTTGCAAAATTCGAGCCGGGAGCTGCAACTCGCACTCTGCCCTTCCGAGAAGCTCTACAGCTTTCGCCACAGAGACCCCTAAACCCTAAACCCTGCAACCCTAAACCCAGAAAGGGGCCCAGGAGAAGAGCCCCAGTGAAAGACGAGTGGCTCGTCGCGTGTGGCTGAGGATCTCCTGTAAAAGCATCGTAGATTGCAGGCCGGCCTCCAGGCTCCCCAGAAGTGCTGGGGCTCAGAGGTTTAGGGTTTAGGGTTTAGGGTTTAGGGATGTTTTGGGCCTCGAGGATTTGGGGTTTCGAGGGGACAGGACTCGAACGCAGGTGAAACTGCATCATTGCAGAACCGCAGCTGTCTGTGGAACTGAAGACATTGCCACATGATATTTGTTGTGATTGTTGCAAGCTGACTGAAACTTGGTATCAGGTGACTCACAGCAAGGTTCATGGATTCACCGGGCTCTCGGCTCAAGTGGTAATTGGCCTGTAACTCAGCTTTTGGGGTTTGGGAGGTTTCGGACGGTTTACGGAAAGCTGACAGGGTGAACTGGAGTAGGAGACGGAATGCACTAACCCCTGGGCCCTAAAAATCGCCAAAACATATACCGCTGTGGCCGGGATTTTGTTGGCATTAAGAGACCCAAATCAGAGAGCTTAGTAACAATAAGCTGAAGGATACTAGTACTACTAGTATACGAATATTCATAACACTGGCAGTTGAAAAAGGAAGTGCTCATGTGATCATGCCAAGAATGATCAGCTGATACAGTTCGAATTTTCGGGTGAGCCAATATGAACGGCGTGAAATTGGAGCCTCTTTGGGCTGATCGCGAAGCTCCTGCATCTCGTCCCGGAGCTTGTTATCAAAGGCGTCCTCCGGCGGATAGCACTGTGACACCATGATAGCAACTCGCCAAAGGTGACGCAATCTGTCCTTTCACGTGTGTTTCAGTTCGGTTTGGATAAAACCTTGCCGCCCAGCCGCTTGTCTCACACATCATGTATTAGGGCCAAAAGTTCATATCAGTTAAGTTATATGGACGTCATGAGCATCAGCTGATGTCAGGTTTCGTCGCTTCGGCACTTCCACTGTGTCGGAGATCACCTGAGACCTGCCTTATGCGCAATTGCGCGTACTCATTTCGATCGCATCGCCAATGCGACCAGTATCTTCGGCATCAGCAGCCAGGCTTTGTTCACCAGTCAAGCAGAGTAGCCAACATGATTAGCTGCAGCTTCAGTGCTAAAGTAACTTTGGGCGAACAGCACAAACCGGCATCATGAGCATCAGTTCTTCTCAGGGTCAATCGCTTCAGCAGGCAACATCAACATCATCGCATCAGCTACCCTGCGCTTGGCCGATTCAGCCAGAGCCGGCCAGCGCGGTCAGCACGCGTCACTGCCGATGTGGATGGCCAGTGGCCAGTGGCCAGTGCAAGGATCTGCATCAGGAGCATCAGTGCTCCGACATTCACTGCTTCGACAAGCACAGTCCAGCGGCATCAGCTGCTTGCGATGTCTGCTGTTCAAGCAGAGCAGGTCAGCATGACCAGCGTTCTTCGCTGCCGCACGTCGATGGAAAGCCAAAAAACGGCCATCATGGGCACCAGAGCGGCATCATCAGCTGCCAACTGTTTTTGCGCAGCCCAAAGCCCGCATCACGAGCATCAGCTTGCCTTCCTGTCCAAAGCCGCCTCAAAGAAGACCCGCATCATTAGCATCAGCTGGTCACTGCTCGCCTGTGGCACCGTCAATGCTTCATGAACATCAACACCTCATCAGTTCGTCCGCCACAAATCCCGTTTGCTCACATGACGCGTGAACTGTTTCTTCAAGATGCAGAGTCAACTCCCACTCGGTCCATCGCATCTTTGGATGCCGCCGCAGCTTTGGTTCCTCTAGGACACACGATGGATTGCAAGGGGATGTGTCACGAGAAACATAAACAGCTCTTGCGCTATGCAGCGAGAAGGGCAACTCGATATGTTGCACCCGAGCAGACTCGCCGAATGCACTACAATACCCTGGCGCCAGTCCCGGAAGAATTTCAGCTTCCTTAGCCACAGCGGAATGCGAACGCAGTGTCTTCACACCATCGAGTTGATACCAGTCTGCAGACAAGATGCAAATCTACACCTCTCACAGCCGCAGCAAAATCCCATCGCCTGAACGGAAGACTCTCACCATAGACAAGCTCGCGCATGGCCACTGCTCTCCAGCAGTTCCTCCGAGCGCTCGCGGCGACGATGGAGTGAGCCGCTCACCTCACAAGCAAAAAACCGCAAGTACCAAGCATTCAGAACTTGCGCTGTGCCATGGTCGGGATCGAGTTGGGTTTTCGCAGATCCCGCGCTGCACATGAAGACACACCTGCGGTTGTTGTTGCGATGACGACGACCAATCTTGGCGATCACTAGGACTGTTCTGACTAAGCATCGCTGATAAAGGTAGAACTTCGGTATGATTCACACTATTGTTGCACACGGTTTCCGGCCCGACCTCTTGTCTTTCATCGTGCCAGAGCATTGATCATGGAACACCAACTGCACCCGGGCCTTAAAATAGGGGAAGAAGATCTCGGAGCCTGCGTTGATCTCCTCCACCGGAAGCAGCCATAACGTCTAAAACGTGGTGCCAGGCAATATGCGGCCATAATAGTTCGAACAGAGTCTTGGTATCTGTTTGAATAAACTGACTAGATCTGACAAGGAACCCTCAATAGTAATATTGGCAAAATTGTTTAGGCTTCAGTACCATCTACAAGATGGTCCAACAGTGGCCGGTATGCAATCAGAGTCCGTACCTCTGAGACTATCCCTGGACGATCGAAGCCCACGTCATGTGAAAAGAAAACCTGAACCCAAGGCAGTCTCCGTCTCCGCCCGGAAGAGAATGGCGTCCCCTAAGGGGTCCAGAATGTTCGCACTTGCATTCACATTGCCACAACCTGGCGCTTGAACATGGCTTATACGATCATGTCCTTTTATGCTGTGTGTGGTGGCCTAAGCCCGAGACACGCGAGAAGTCCGAATCTAGTGCGCACGACCACTGCTTTTGACCTTGATGTCCCAGCTTTATCGTTCCCGAAGCTTGCTGCCAGTGCAGCACCGAAATTACAACCAACCAGTTATCGTGTAAGCCTTTTCTATGCGAGTGCCTGGAGTATGGAGTATGGAACGCTGCTAAGCAATCAAGCGAGAGTACAGTAGCAATGTAGTCGACGTGGCTGGCAGCTCTAGCAATGTTGATGTGGCCTCTCAGGCTCAGTAGAACATGACTAGAGGGCGGAGCAGCACACTCGGCTGTCATTCATGTAGCGATGATGAGCAAGGAGTGGTGCAATTGTGGGGAGTACTCAGCTGAAGATCAGAAGCCTTAAGCGACAGCACTCGAAGCTTACCTCCACAAGCGCGACGACACTGCGAGTAAGAGCCCAACATGGCCAAACAGCTCATCACATGACCCCACACATCAGAACGGACATGGCTCTGTGCTGCCATAGCAGCTATGGTTGATCATGGATGGAAGCCCATAGATTGCTGTCTTAGAGTTCACGTGGAAGGAGTTCCTCGATTCTCAAGCTGCACCATCTCTGGTCGGGCGATGCTGCTGGGAGTTAAGGAGCTAGAGGTGCCAATTCCAGGGGTGCAGACACTGAAATTGCTTCACAGAGTCCTGTCCACCACGTTCACCAAGACCTCGTGCACACATGAGCTGGGTTTCGACTTTCGGCTTCGAGATCTGACAATGGCTGCAAAAATACACGCACAAGCACACACGACACACACACATATATACAGCGACCTTTCCATCCACACGTACATGCATACGTACCTACACACATATACATGCATGCATGCATGCATGCATGCATGCATACACGCTCACAGACAGACAGACAGACAGACAGACAGCCAGCCAGCCAGCCAGCCAGCCAGCCAGCCAGCCAGCCGGGCAGGCAGGCAGGCAGACGCAGGTGCATGCATGCATACATACACGCATAAGTAAATACATACATACATACAGACATAAACTCATCCATCCGTCCATCCATCCATCCCTCCGTCCGTCCGTCCATCCGTCCATCCATGCATGCACACATGCATCGAGTCGATAGACCAAATTAAGGGGTATGTGCAGTATGCAACATGTGTCACATGTGTAAGCATACATGGTTACATACGTCTGTGCATACAAGCCTGCGGAAACATGCACACAGGAGGATCCAAACCGCGGACTTGGCGCCTCTCTCGTGAGGAAGTTCCCGAGTGGTTCCGTCGGCAAGGTGTCGGGCTGCGGCCACAGAGCTTGCGAAACAACCGCCAGGGTAGGAGGAGCTCGTGATGTCCAGCCGTCCTAGGAGGCTTCGGAATGCAAGCAAGTTCGTGAGCAATGAGGGAAAGCCGAACATGTCTGTTCATGGAAAGACTTCGGTTGATTCTGCGCCATCCTGATGCATCTGCCGTCGAATGCCGTCGACATCAACGGTAGTGGCCGGTACTCGTGTGCATTTATCGTTGAATGAAAAAACCATCAAATATCATGAATAATTGTTACAGCTGTTGACTACAATGCTGCCAAAGAGCCGCAGATACTCGCACTGGTCACATAGGTATCTACAGGTAAACAGATAACGCCATGTGGATATGATACGGTTCGGTATACATACATACATACATTCGCAGATTCGCGCAAAGGTGCGTGTGCATGTGCATGCCCAGATTAATCCCAGTGTCTGTCAAGCATTGCAGCTGGCAGCGGGTTCGTGCAGAATTTCTGCACGCGTCCTCAGTGTCACCGGGATGCTTTGTAGGTAAGACTGCTTCCAGTGCTGTGCCCAAGTAGAACTGAGAAGACTTGAAAAGGCATCGCCTTAAAGCCGTTCTTTTGCTGACGGGAATCTAACAGCTGCTCCACCAGCTCAGCTGTGGAGTACGCCTCCCATGCTGCAGGGTATTTTGACTTATTGTGATAATTAATCAGTGCTGTTGACTATCGTTCGCACCACAGATATGTCAAGAACTTAACCATCATTCATTGGTGTTATAATACGAACTTATTGGCTTGACACTAGTATTCTCGTGTCTCGCGGGTCACAAACCGATGAGACGGCGATTGCCTGCGCCTTAATGATGGCATGCTAGCAGGATCTAATGCTGATTATGATTATGGCTATGGCAGTGACATGCAGCGACCCTCAACTAATTTCGGCGGTCCTTTATGACACACACACACACACCCTCCGGCTCAATCCGTCTTTGAGGTCAAGGTGCCCAAACGCCGCTGTGAACGGCCAACGGCCTGGACACCAGTAGCACCTCTCCTGACGTGGCTTACGAGGCAGTTTCAGCAAATCGAGGAAAGCAATCCTATAGATGAAGATCCATCCGACCTTAGTAACTGCAAAACGTCAAGCCTCAAAGCCCCAACATACAACAGTTCAAACACGATTTGCAGGGGTAAATTACAGTACACCGGCACAAGGATCATAAGCCCTAAGGCTAAAAGTTCAAGTGCTCTTTGTTGTGGGACTGTAGGGTCCTTATGCTTATGACCGTGAACTCCTAATAAGGGCATGTTACTGTGAAGTCTGTACACTGGTTACAGAATGCTATTTGGGCGGTACTGTGTTCAATTTCGACAGCACACCCGGAAGGTACTGCCGCCCTGCAGTCGAGATCTAGTCATCGTCAGTTTCGGGCTGCCACAGTTAACTCAGCTGTGCAACTCGACAGTCGTGAACCATCCACTTTATCAGCTCAGTTGCCTGGGAAGATTTGGCGGGTTGCGAAAAGGCCGCGCTCACAGCCTTCGTTCCACCTGCGAGCTGGCTGTGCTCCCCCGCCAGCCACAGCTGTCTTGCATCTACGGTAACAAGCTGGCGCACTCAGACATCTCGCTACTACAAGCCCTCCGTAGCCCCAGAGCATGCTCATGTCGTCCTGGAGTTGCTAAACCGCCTAGGCGTTTCGAAGCACCAAGGCCTTTTCAGCACATGCCGAAGAAGACTGCGCCAAATCGTCACTAGCGGCACTGGCGACAGCAAAAGATCGAACAGACACTGCCTCCTAATCGTGCATTCTATCCATGGCGTGTAAGTCATAATCTTCTTATTCTTCTGTGTGCTCGCATATCAACACTCGTCAGCTTTGGCTTTGGGAGTTACGCGGGTTTTTGTTGATGGTTCTTTTGCGGTGCAGGCTGAGAAGCTCGCTAAAGGAGTCCTTCATCTAATTGCCCGGCCTGATCTCAACGGGGCCCACGAACTCCGCTACAGGCGGAAGCTGTAAAGTCCATGTCCAGCTCTCCGGGACCTGCAAAGATGGTTTGGAGTTGGCTAACTTTAGGGTGGGAGAAAGGGGGGTTGAGGAATTCAGGAGGTCTGAGGTGTGAGGTTGTAGGGATTCGGGTTTCAGGAGAATGGCAAGATTTTGCCTAGTAATACGTTGGTTCTGTCCTCGTTCGTGTCTCTTGCTCCCAATATGTATAGCTACTGTGGTATGCTTCTTAGCGCTCGTATTGTTGCGGCTAGCATGGCAATGCCAAAGCTGTTTGCACTTGGGCCGTGAAGAGGTCGGTGATGTTGATGGTGATGGCGATGGTGGTTATGAGTGTGATCATCATCTTCATCATCATCATCATCATCGTCACCATCATCATAATCAAGGCAAGGATAACAAGGAAGGCGTGCATCATTATAAGCGCTGCATAGAGCAGGACTATCAGAAGCATGAGCAGAAATGTTTCCAAGCTTGGCATTCGACCGCTTTGAACAATGCTCCCGAATGACTATCTGCCACTACTGCCCGGACACGTCATGATTCCCACCCATTCAACTGGCATCTTCGGTCCCCGGACGTAGCGGTAACGCTAAATCTGTGATCTCAGTCGAGGGTGCGCTTTCAATCAAGTCACTCAGTCAATGACCTGCGAAGCTGTGCAAAAAGAGGCAGGGAGTTGGGATCCCTTTTCGGACGCTTGTATCCTAAGACTGACATTCTGTTTCTGGGACATGAAAGTATTAGGTGCTGTAGGCTTCTGCCAGCCTGGAGCTCAGGAAGGGGATCCACGCCCAAGTTGACACCTGGTCACGCAAGAAGCAGGATGTAGAGAGTTCGAAATTCGAAAGAAAATAATTGAGGGGATTTGGCCAGAACCTGGGATTCAAGTCAAGGCAATTTAGTAAGCTTTGGGCCTCTGCAGGGGCTTGAGGCTGTAGGTTGACAGTTTTACCTGCGGCCTCCGGAGTTATCCCATACATCGAGTGTCCCTCTAAATCTTGAACTTGACTTTTGCCTCACGCATAGGGCGTACGGCGCCTTCTGGCAAACTGCGTCTGAACCTACAGTCTGCTGCTTCGGTGGCCACTCATGATGACTTTGAACTTTAAACGAAGCGGAGCAAGCTGCATCAATGCTCTGGGTACGAAGACCTTCGCAGGCCCCTATAACCCTCCAAGCCCTTGTCCCCTAAACCCTCAACCCTAAACCCTAAACCCTAAACCCCTAAACCCCAAAACCCTAAACCCTAAACCCTGAATCCCCATCTCCAAACCCTTCGAGTCTCGCAGCCCCGAAGCCGAAACCTTGTTCGAACCCGGAACCCCGAAGACGACCCAATTCCTAAACCCCAAAGCCTAGACCCTTAAACCCAAAGGCCCTAGACCCTGAAGCCTGAAACCTAAATCTAAACGTCCACCTCCGAAGAGGTCTCCATCGCCGCGGCTTTGCATCAAGAGCTCTTCGAGCCTCTCGTGCAGAGACTCCACCTTCAGGGCTTCACAACGGGAGGGTTCAAGGTCGTTGGTCATTGGTGATGTGGGGACAGGTTTTATTTTTTTGAGGACCTTTTGCCGTCTTGCTGGAAGTCGGAGAGCCTCGTTGAGGTAGGCTGTGTACAGAACCCTTCGACTTTGGGGACAGGGTTTGATGCGAAAGGTTTAGAGAACGAGAAATGCCAAGATACAGAGTGCTCGCGGCTTTAATCGGCTTTAGTTTCTATTTCAGGATCCAGAAGCCTTGGAAGCTAGTGAAGAAACTGCAGCCAGCAGCCCGGACTAAATCGTAAAACCTCAATCCCTCCTTCCGTAAAAAAATGCATGGCACCAAAGGCCAACAGCCGAAAAGCCCAGCCCGTGCCCCCCCCTCGTCAAAAATAAACACAACGCACGCACATTTCTTAGGTCCCGGCGGCCGTTAGGCCTTCCGCCGAGCCATCTGGGAATTCTGCGCCCGGTTCCAGGGCCTCCGACACCAGAGCTGATGCTTCTATCATGTGCTGTATGTATTTACGTCTACATTGATACTGTTACTATTGTTCATACTTGTATCGCAAGCGGCAGTCGTGGGCAGTGGAAGTTGGCGACGGGGATGTTGCTGGTGGAGGTGGTGGTGCTCGTGGCTGTGGTCATGGTCACCATGGTGACGTTTGTCGTCGTTGTAGCCGTCGCCGTAGTTGTCGTAGTGATGGTAGTACAAGCAGGGGCAGGGTGGTGGTGGTAGTAGTAGTAGTAGTAGCCGCAGCAGCAGCAGTGGTAGAAGCAGAAGCAGTAGTAGACCTAGCAGCAATAGTGGAAGTAGCAGCTGTTTCCGTCGTAGTAGTAGTCAAGCAGTCATAGACATAGCAGTAGTCGTAGTAGTCGTCGTAGTAGTAGTAGTAGTGGTAGGAGCAGTCGGAGAAGGAGTAGGAGTAGCAGGAGTAGGAGTAGCAGTGGGAGGAGTAGGAGGAGTAGCAGGAGTAAAACTTTGTCGTCGTAGTCGTGGCAGTCGTGCCAGTCGACTTCGTAGCTGCTGTGGTCCTACCGCAATTATGATGGCGAGCATTATGACCCCTATTATGCTTCGATTGATGATCATAACGCTGACTATCTAAATTTAGCATGCTCGTTATTGTAATGTCACGTTGAAGTGGAGCCGGCAGGCGTCGAAGGACTGATGATGAACCCTTACAGCACGTGCCTCCTCCAGCAGTTGCACTGCAGTCTCCAGGCGGCCAGTCGCGGCCGCAGCCACAGCCAAAGAGGCCCTGCCCTCGGGGTATTTGTTGGGGGATCTTCGGAGGTTGAAGGTATGCGGCAATTTCCTGGTGTAGGAAAGGGTTTTAGAACTTGAGGGTGTTGACTCGAAGCTTCATGGTTTGCGGGGGTTGGACTGCAGTCGCCGATGACCGAGTATCTTGAGGGTCGCATCGCTGAAAGCAGACACCATCAGACAGCCCCCGGCCATCAGGTCCGCAAGGGCTTGCTGCATCTAGGCTTTTGAGGATACCTCAGACCATACAAATCCAGCACTCTCGACCAGCATCACCTTGATTGAAACCTCATGCCCAAGACCATGAGCACCCGAAACCCTCAAATCCCTGAACCACCCCCCAAGACCCAACAAAATCGAATGCAACCCTAAACCGCAACCCGGGTCGAAAGCCCCAACACCGCAATCTGAAGCCGAGAGATGCAGCCTCCAACGAGGCCAAGACCGAGCGATCGGACCGAAGAAGCTCCTCCCATAGCCCAAAAGACGCTTGTGTGCGTGTGTGTGTATATATATATATATACATATGTTAAAGTAACAATATGTGTACTGTTACAGGCGTATGGGGATAGGTGCAAACATAGATACCGATATAGATAGATAGATAGATAGATAGATAGATAGATAGATAGATAGATGGATAGATATACACATACAGAGAGATAGCGATAGAGATAGAGATAGACATAGAGATTCGGAGATGGAGATAGAGAGGAGATAACGACAGAGACAGCGATTGAGATGGAGATTAAGATTGAGATAAAGTTGAGATAGAGATAGACATAGACTTTCAGATTGGCATGGAGACACAGATATGGATAAAAATATGGATATAGATATGGGTATAGATACACATATAGACGTAGGATGTAGGTATAGATACACACATGCATACACCCGCACAGGCAGACACACACGTACATGCATCCATGCATTCGCATGCACACACCAAATCACGCAAGTCTGAATATGTCGCGCACTGGGTGCACTTATTCTGGCACTTATTCAGGCACACATCGTTAAACTTGTTCGTCTTGGTGACATGTGCAAGTATGTAAGAGAACGTGTTTATCCTCCGTAGATGGATCACCAGGCATGGTCCGAACCCAAAATCGAAACCTGGGTGCCCTGCGCTAGAGGACGCAACACTTCAACGAACTTCACATCAGAAGGTACCTTTGCTTGTATGTATATATGTGAAGATATTTGCATACATAGACATATGTATGTATGCATATATGTCGTGTATGTGTCTGTATATGTCAACATATGTAAACTTATGTGAACATGTGTAAATATGTGAAACATGTGTACGCACACATGCATGCATGCATGCATACATACAGAAGCATTCATACACCTATATCTAGACAAGATGACCGTCGCTTATCTTTTTCTGTATGTGCCCAGACAAGTCCTCGGCCGTTGCCCAGGCACTTGCCACCTGAGCAGCAGAATCTCTGAACAGAAAAACGCTGGTTGGGAAAATGCACAAATAGCACAAGTACTGCAAATAAAAAATGAAATAGTTACAGTAGATAGACAGGTAGACAAGTAGGCACATACACATAGTTAAAGCTGCGAAAGCATTGATCAGCTAAAGCTCAATTTTTTTTCACGATCAGTCTCCCAGCCTCTCCATCATTGAGGAAGTGCTGCAACGACTGCAGGGTTGGAGCCTGTCTAATCTTTGTCTGGGCTTCGCAATTCCATGTTCATCTGCATGGGACTGAGAGCTATGGGCGATCCTGAAGCCAATCTACTTCAGGTGTCAGGTTGGGTCAAAGATGCTGCTTATCTTCGTCAAGCCTGAAGGCTGCCAAAGGAGTTGCGGGCCTGAGGGTCTGCTTCCGAAAATATGAGGTCATCCAGAAAGAAGGGATCCTCATACAGACCTCAAGCAACGGGGTCTGTACCCCTTATCCTACGAACCCGAACCCAGCAAGGCCCTGGAAGATTCGGATCTTCTGCTTTTGCGGTTGAGAAGCACCGCAGAGGCGACAGAAGAACTGTCCCAGACCGCGGAGCATGGCTCCATGGGAGGCTTATGCACATTACTGTAATCGGTAAACTTCTCTTCTTCTACTCCTGGTATGAGAACGTACATGTTTTTGGATGACTTGCTGTGGATTTAGATGGCCCTAGGGTCTCGGAGTTTGGGTTCAGGGCATCGGATCTCGGATCTGGATGCAGGGCTTTGGATGCAGGACTTGGATTCATGGCTGCGGGGGCTTCTTTGGGTTGTGGGTTTCTGGCTCCGGTATCTACCACTAGGGGTAAGTACCGGGTGTAGGATGCCTCTGATGCGAACCCTTCCATTGAGGGTCTAGATAAGGGTGATTCGTTTGAAAACTAAGCAATCATGTGGGTATTTCTCTAAATTAGGGTCCTTTTTGGATCCCCAACATACCAGTAGCAGTAGTACGGCACTCTTATGAGAAGGACCCTAAAAGAGACCCTAATTTAGAAAACTACCCATGTAGGGGCCACCTGTATGGGATCGAAGCCGGCTGGAAGGGCTGGTTAAGAGCCACGATGCTGAGCAACATGACATGTCACCACGTTTGATCCGACTTCTGCCCTAAGTCCTACCTTCTGTTGTGGCAGCTAGTACGACAGATTAATTCCTCCAGCTCATAACAGCTGCGACTCCTGCTCCTCGAGATGAAGAGCTTTTCTTCAACTGCGTGGCTCAGAGTCTTATGGTAAAGGGGTGGCTCGGTCATTTTACGGCAAGCTGCTGCCGAATTGCGACTTGAAGGATTGAGCTTTAGTGCAAGCTCGTGGGAGACACGCCATTACAGGATCTTCCTGCTGCAAGCTATGGAGAACGAGAGTTTGGAGGATCGTGTTTTGTGCCAAGCTAGTGGGGAGTCCCACTTCGCAGCACCTTATCCTATTGGTGAATCGCAATTGCCAAGGTCCTGCTTCGTGGCAAGATACAGTAGTGGGTTTAGGACAGCAGACAAGAAGATGAGCAGAAAGACAGCACCCTCAACCCTAAACCCCAAACCGGAAGCAGAAAGCCAAAAGCAAGAAAGAAGAAACCAAGAGACCAAGGCAGGGAAAGACTTGAGCTACAAGTGCTCAAAAGAAAACAAATTCTCCTGTATACATGTACGGGTATCATGATAATGTATGCGTACTTAACTATCAAAATTCATCTATTATATGTTTTGCGTTGCTTACCACTATTCTTATTTTGCCCTCCCGAACTCCACACAGAACAGACTGGGGGCCCGTGCGGCCAATGGTTGTCGCCATCTGAGGCCGGGGTGGCGGCGAGGTGACAGCAAACTTGGAGTCCTGGCAGATTGCGGGCCGGTGTGGTAGGAGATCTGCAACAAGAAGACAAGCCGGAAACAACAGCTCCATCAGAAGCCTTTCCGAGTGGGATTAACATATTGGCCTTAATAATTAGAATAGGGTCTTGGGGTACATTATGCTACAACTAGAATAAGGAACCCCCAAAGCAGTATAGGTAAGTATTTACGCCCCTAAAGAAACAGTGGCCTCCCTCTGCATCTTGGTGCTCGTGACTCAGTTTCTTCGGCTTCAAAGTTGAAGTTTTGGACTTAAGGCTCAGGGCTTAGGGGTTTAGGGTTTAGAGGTTTAGGGCTTAGGGCTTGGGGCCTTTGAACCTTTCTGGATCGAGGCTAGTGACTGGTGGTGCTTGCATCAAGAGCCGCAGCCGAAGGAACCAGCAGATCATGCTCAACCAGAAAGGAGGCTCTTGAACTCTTTAAGGTTTAGGGTTTAGGGTTTAGGAGTCATTCCGCTTGCCGAATTCTAGCTTCGCGAATGGCATGTGCACTCTTGCTATTTTTGTACTGCGACTCTGACTCGTTTATTCTTCCACCTGTCTGACCCAGGACGCCGGACAAGGGGGCTGCTCTTATTTGGGCTCTATCCTGGGATTTACCCAGACCCCGAATTACCCCGCAACAATCCTCAGGTCCCCAAGTACCTAAATCCGAAGGCCCTAAACCGATCTTATAGCCGTTGTGGCCTTTATCTGAGGCTGCGGTAGCTTGCAGGAACAGGATGGATCTTGGGTTCACGGGTATGGGTGTTTACTGTGGTTTTTCGGCCCCCGTTTTTTGTTTTCAGGGTTGCTGTATTGGGGCGTAACCCTGTTCGGGCAGCGAGCCTCCTCCATGTCCCGGTACTTGCTGCGGAAAAGCCATTGGCAACACCTTTCTCACATGAACTCACAGGCCACCGTTGCCGAAGTCAGAACAACCCTCAACTGGCAGAACTGGCAAGTGATCTCAGGAACCCTCCATGCCGAGTTCAGGACTTCATTCGAAGGTGGGGAGCTTTTGCCGACGCCTAAGACGACGGTGGCGTCCAGCACGAGATTGTAGCAGCCATGGCGTCAAGCTTTTGGCATCAAGGTTCAACAGCTCGCTCGAGGCATGCACTTCTTCCTCGGGCTCCATGCAAACCCCACCTAATTCCCAAGGAATGACCCAAACTCTGAAACCACTGTCGTGATCCAACAAACCCTAAACCCAAAGCTTGAAATGCTGTTGCCTGCAAGAGCCGAAAGCAAGCGCGCAGTCGTACAGTCGAGGGAAAACGTCGTTTATGGCCCTTCCATACCAAACCTATGCCGCCATGAACGTTCAAGTGCCCCGTTGCCCTGTTGCCCTTGAAGACGGCGCCGATTTTCCTTGGCGTGGGCCCTTCCACTGCCCTGCAAGACGCTAGCAACGAGCATCTGTCCTTGCGACTCCATCAGCCGTGTTTCTTCAAGTTCTTAGTTTACGGAAGTTTACGGTTTATGACATGTTGCTCTCAGTTTCAGTGTCAGTTTCAGTCTCAGTTCGGACAAGATGCTGAACTCTTTCTCACGTCCCTCGCTCGGACATGAGGACAGCTACAAGACGCTCCTCAGCCTCTGGATTGCGGCAGTCTCAGTGGACCTCAGAGGGCTCGCCGCAACTCGTCTGTATGTACCAGGAAGATACTAAGAAGGGTCCACACGCAACAAACCTTTCGGACGCACATAAACGATATCAGCAGCACCCAGTGACAGCAGGAAGGGCATTCGAAGCAGCATGTATGGCTTGCTAGCATAGACTAACAATGGTAACAATGGCCAATAGTGAAGAACAATGGTCACAACTGTCACCATCATGACCAGATTCATCAGACTCATCCGTCAGGGCCTGCTGAGCGGCTCCTACAACGACAGTGAAGTTCACTCGACCACGATCCACAGGTTGCCCGGAGCTGACTAGCCCTGTGGCATAGGGCCATGGGATTCTAACCATCAACAGTCAAGGCCGGTGCATCGTGACAAATATTTCAGACACGGTAGGAGTACACCATGACCGTCGAAGTTGTGGTTCCAACAAACGAATCACCACGAAGGCACGAAGGGTCCCCTGCTCCAATGAAACACAAATCCCCAAAAGATTGTGGCTCCGGACTTCCAGGAACACAGTCCCAGCATTGCCCACCACCGTGGCCCAGCCTAATCTGCTCTGCTCTCAGACAAGTACCGGATCTTGCTGCTCTCTCATCGATAACAGGTCACGTGTTGCAGCACAGCGGCGACCATCTTTTTCTTGCTTGCTCGGCGCTCTTGCACAAGCTCTTCCAGGCCCCTCTGAGCGCGCACAAGCCTAACGGGCCCTCACCTTCCCATGCTTCGCATCAGTTTCACCTGCACAGGGTCACATAAGGGTTTTGTGTTGAAACTTGAAGGGTTGAGGAATTACGGTTGAGACCGCAAGGCCACATGCTGCAGAACGCGTGACCTTCAAGCTATGCAAGTTCACGAATGCTGCTGTGTGCCCCATGCCTCTTCCGAGCACTCGTGATGATGGTGAGAATCGTAAACCCGCGAGTACAAGACCACTTTGCTGGTGGGCTTATTCACGACCGCATAGTCACCTCATGTTCCACATGGCTTGCCTACGCGCCTGCCTCTAATGCAGCCTTGTCAAGGAATAGGCATCGAAGTCGAAGCCGCATCTTGAGTTCAACCGACGACCGAAAGCAAAGCAGTGCATCAACTGCAAGCCTCAACCCTAAACCCTAAACCCTAAACTCTAAACCCTAAACCCTAACATCAAGCCAAGGGACAGATGAAGCCAGAACGGCCGGGCAGAAGACCTGGGTATTGAGCCCTCGGAAGCTGATTGATCGGGGTCTCCTCGAAAAACTGCGAGACGTGTCCTGGCAGGCAGCAGCTGCTGGCAGCCCATGGGCCGAAGCTTCATCCGTGGTTTAGGGTGTAGGGTTTAGGGTTTCAGGGTTTTAGGGTTTTAGGGTTTTAGGTTTTTAGGGTTTAGGGTTTAGGGTTTAGGGTTCAGGGTTTTAGGGTTTAGAACCATGTATGTATACCATCTTGCGACCGCAATCTCCGCTTTCATGCTTATAAACTGGAACGAGCTAGTTGAAGCTGCGAGGCCAAGTGTCCTCCCGGATGGGATACCTTGGGCATTGGTCCATCCTGGCTCCAACTGTCGTAGGCCTTTCCAGGGCAAGGATGGCAGAGTATGGTGCAGCTGTCCCTGCGGCAGCACTTCTGCAGCGGTGTGTCTTGATGGATGACTGTCCCATGCCAGCACTAGGATCCCCGAATCCTCGGCATGCCTTTGGCCTCTGGAGGTTTAGTGCCTGACTCCCTTGTAGATGTCGAAAGCGTTGCAAAGGATCTTCTGCCAAAAAACACGTTACTTTGGGCTTCGCTTTGAGGTGGTTCGCCACAAGTTGCAGCACCACCGCAAGCGGCCAAGGGGTTGCAAAGTCGGTGGATTGTTCCCTCAGCCCGTTTCTGGCCTTTCTGAGCAGCGCAGTTCCAATGTTGCCATTCGCAGTGCTCACACGCATCTGAGCCTCGGTGCTAGCCATCTACAGGCCACTCTTCACTTTGGGATGTTGGGGCTTTATGGTTTATTGCCAGCGCAATATTGGTTAAAAACTGAACTTTCTTGGCCAGGAGGAGGCCTTACATGGGCGCTCGCAGACTGTGATTGGCGACTCCTCTCTCCTAGCATAGAGCCTTTAGGGATGC